GCTGCGTTTCCGCCACCTTCGCCTAGGTCCCTGCAGTCCAGCGTCTCCTCCGCCATGGTCAAGAACCAGGACAGTCTGGCCACGCACGGAGGACACAATGGCAGGCTTCGTCGGGGACGAGCGGCTTCTAGGTAGGTTGTGGGGTGGTCGTCATCGGATTTCTCGCCGTCGTCGTCGGCCCACCGTTAGCTCTTCGTGCACCCTTCCGAGAAGTCCAAAAAGAACGGAGCCGTGGTTGGCGAGAGGGAGCTGGGGGGAGGCTAGCGGCACCGTAGCGGCCTGACTGACAACGGTGGCAGCTCCCTCCGCACCGGCCAGTGGCATCAATGGCCGGCGGAGCGCCCTGGAAGTCGCGTCGGCGGCGACCACCGGCTCCAGTGGCGGGGGGCGCGCTAGATCTGCCCCCCTTGCTAGACTGCAAGGTGGTCGCGGCGGCGGTGCCGTTGGCAGCTCCCAACGGCGTGGAGGGCGAGGGGGCACCGCCGGTGGAGGCGTCGTCCGTGGGGCCTAGCGGGGGAGACCTCGACAGCGGCTGCGACGTCCGCCCGACGGGCGTAGTGGAGGAAGGTGGCTCTGCAGCGGCCGGCTCCGCGACGGCCATCGCCGCTGGCTGCGGGGGCCCAACCGACTATGGCTCGTGGGGAGCATCGGCCACCGCGGAGGCCGACAGAGGTGTGGTGCCCGACAGAGTCAACGATGAGGAACACGCGTCGTGCTAGGGGGCATGTGGGGGTATGGCCCCCGGTATCCTCAAGACAAGACATGGGTCACACCATCAGAGGTGGCTCAGCCCACAAGATCAAGGCGTGCACGGCACTGCTCGGCGTGCACCACAAGCTATTGTATAGTACCAAATAGGATACTTTTCTTGTAACCCTACCCCTACAGAGTATATAAGGAGAGGCAGGGGTCTCCTAGTGGACAGATCTTCATACATCTCATACTCAATACAATACACCAAATACACAGGACGTAGGGTATTACGTCGATCAGACGGCCCAAACCTGTCTAAATCGCTGTCTCTGCACCTTGTGTCACCATCCGATTCCTGATTATGCGCACCCCCACCGATAAATCTACCATCATGGGATACCCCTCGGTGGGCTGCCGAGCATCTTTTATCGACAGTTGGCGCGTTAGGTAGGGGAGTGCGCTTGATCCCATGGCAAGCCAGATGGACCTCAAATCAACAGCACGTTCTCGTCATCAATCTCGTGGAGATCCATGTCGGTCCACGATGACGATTTATCGCTGGCTACACCAGCCCCCGCGACAGCAGATTCGATCTCGGAACCACCTTCGAGGTCGTCTTCACCAACAACTCACCGCCCGCCGGGTGCTCGCCGTCAACACCGACCAGATAACGACATACGTCACCGACCAGACTTTCTGTCTAAAGCTAAGTCACGCTTTAATATTCTTCTAAATATTCTCCAATCTCCGTATATCGCCATGATGTTTCTCCAAGCTGTTTTCTCCATGTTTGCTCTCCAAATGATTTTCTGAACCCCTGAACAGTCATGTTGATGCTCGGACGCCTCCAGAGACGGCCCTGTCTCCGGCTCCTCTCTACACGTGCACGAGCGTCTGCCCTCTGCGTTATGGGTGGTCGGCAGCGGCTCCTTAGCGACGCCTGTTCCTCCTACACGTGCACGGGCTCCGCGCTCGACGTTATGGACTATGGGCTAGCTAGGGCTGGAGACTCAGCTACACACTAACTGGTCGGGCGGTTTATATTAAATATAAATACATCTTCGCACCAAACTGATCGCCGAGCTGTATACGCTATTTCATCGCCATTGCTGATTTTTCTCCGGAGTTCATATATTTTTACATCATGTACTACCCATTCTACATACTTGTATTGCAGGATCATCGTCCAGGTGATCGGACCACCTGGTGCTCGAACTTCTCCACCGATCAACTGGTCGGACCGCTTGGTTCATGGACTTCGTCGCCGACTAGTTGATCGGACTGTTCGCCGGTCGCTTCTACTCAATGCTCACTTCGCTGCCGACCAGTTGACCAGGCTGTTCGTCGCTCGTGCTTCATCGCCAGCTATGCCGGTTACTCCTCGGCGCTCGGATTCTTCGTGCTCGAGGACTAAGTGGGCACACTTCACCGCACGGACGTCGCCAGCTACGTCGGGGACTCCTCGGTACTCGGACATTGCCAACGATGCCGGGGACTCCTCGTTCCTCGGCGCTCGGACATCGCCAATGACGCCCGGGACTCCTCGCTCCTCGGTGCTCGGACATCACCAACGACACCGGGAACTCCTTGCTCCTCAGTGCTCGGACATCGCCAATGACGCCGGGGACTCCTCGCCCCTCGGTGCTCGGACATCGCTAGCGACGCCGGGGACTCCTCGCTCCTCAGTGCTCGGACATCGCCAGCGACACCGAGGACTCCTCGCTCCTCCGTGCTCGGACATCGCCAGCGACGCCGGGGACTGCTCGCTCCTTGGTGCTCGGACATCGCCAGCGACGCCGGATACTCCTCGCTCCTCGGTGCTCGGACATCGCCAGCGACGCCGGGGACTCCCTGGCTGCTCGGATCTTGCTACATCTTGTCGGTGTGCTATCAAGCTGCTCCATGCTGTTCGGATCAGGGTGCTGATCTTGGGCAGCACGTTTGGGGTCTTGATACACGCATGTCAAACGACGTCGGCAAGCTTTCAGACTTCTTTTTCTTTGACCCTGCTACAAGATTCATTCTTCATCTTCCAGCAGGCTCGGGGACTAAGTGGGCACACTTCACCTTGTGGTGAATGTGCGCTTTTCTCATCTCGAGGCTACGCCCGGGGACTGGCTGCCTGCTCGGCTGGTCTTCTACTTTCTGACTCTGGCACCACGTGACTATGTCACCTACTGTCAGGCTCGGGGACTAGCTGTGGGAGTATGGCCCCTGGTATCCTCAAGACAAGACATGTGCCGCACCATCAGAGGTGGCCCATCCCACAAGATCAAGGCGTGCACGGCGCTGCTCGACGTGCACTGCAAGCTATTGTATAGTACCAAATAGGATATTTTCCTTGTAACCCTACCCCTCCAGAGTATATAAGGAGAGGCAGGGGTCCCCTAGTGGATAGATCTTCATACATCTCATACTCAATACAATACACAAAAGACACAGGACGTAGGGTATTACGTCGATCAGACGGTCCGAACCTATCTAAATTGTTGTCTCTGCGCCTTGTGTCACCATCCGGTTCCTGATTACGCGCACCCCCACCGATAAATCTACCATCGTGGGATACCCCTCGGTGGACTACCGAGCATCTTTTGTCGACAGGGCACCATCCAGGAGGCCCGACGCGGCGGGCGGCGGCAACCGTGCCACGCGGTCGCGCGCACCCGTGCGCTGGAGAGGAGATGAGGGAGGGCTCGTATGGGGGGAGTGGTAGGGTGAGGGGGAGGGGAAGGGGGAGGGCGCCGGTGGGGGTGGAGCCAGTGACTAGGGTTTGGGGATTCGGGATCCCATGGGCCCCTCAGCTTGGCTAATATATGTTGCATGTATGTTGCATGTTGCATTTAAGAAATTGTCATTCTTAATGTTCTTTTGTTAATGCAAACTGATATCATGTATGACCCAAGCAAGATGCATCTGTTCTCAACACTGAGATGTGGGCATGTGGTATGTATATGTTGCCGATGCATATTTCAAAACTAGGAGTTATTGTATTGTAAATGCTCTATCTGGCTGAATAAGTCAACAGACCTAGGCTCTCCTTTCAGCTAGAAAGGGTGTGTTTAGTTGGGTGAATTTGGGAATTTGGGCTACTGTAGCACTTTCGTTTTTATTTGGTAATTAGTATTCAATCATGGACTAATTAGGCTCAAAACGTTCGTCTCGTAATTTCCAACCAAACTGTGCAATTAGTTTTTTTTCATCTACATTTAATGCTCCATGCACATATCGCAAGATTCGATGTGATGGGTACTATAACACTTTTTTAGAATTTGAGGTCCCAACTAAACACGCGCAAAGTCTGTTACATTCTAAAAGAAAAAAGATCATGACGGAACAATCAAAATGATAGCATGTATATACCACTAACATAGTTATAATTAATCTTTTTGTTATTTATCCTTTGAAGTGTCCCCATTCACTTATATATGTTGGACCTTTATCATGTTCGTGATGTCAGAAAAATTAGGACAATAGGACATGCATGAATCACGAAGAAGTAATATAAATTCAACCAATACAAGGGTTAGTTATAGAGGAAAGTCCTCACATTCTGTGCACCCGTATGATCTAGGGGTTAAGCTTGAGCCGGCAAGGCGTTTGTGTAAAACAGTTAGCAAGGCTATCGTTACTGGGTTATTGGGCTGCTTAGGCGGCTCTTGAGCTGTAAAAATCTTTTGGTCCTGAATGCATATTGATGGACCGGGGTTGTGCCCTGGAACCTTTTTTTTTCCAAAAACGCAGGAGAGTTGCATATCTTTTTATATTAAAAAGAAAAAAGGGTATCATAAGAAACCCTAAAACAACAAAGATAACACCTCAACACACCCCCAACACATACATCCACGACAAGCCCACACATACTCACAAAACAAATACTCCCAGACACACACAGCCACAACAAGCTCACACACAAACAAGGGATGAACGACCAAGAAGCCAAACAATTATGCAACACGCCAAGTATCTGTTTAGTCAACAAGGTGATGCCCTTGGCACCTGCTAGACCCCATAACTTTGCTTCTTCAAAGACCGAAGCTAGGATACCCTGCACCATCAAAGACACCGATTCTGATGGGTTCAAAGTGACGTGCCCTGGAACTCTAAAATGTTCTGTGCACCACTAAATAAGTGTGAAATTCATTACTGATAGTGACTTTTGAGGGCATGAGGCTAACATTTGTGGGTTAAAATCAATCTCAGCGATCCATCCAATGGTATATAAGGCCAAATGAAATTAATCAGGTTCTTACAAGCATAAATTTCTATTTTTTCTAAAAATACTTGGGTATTAGAACTTATGAGTTTACTCACTTTACTGTGTAGTGACTCTCCTGCAATTAGTGACCTAAAGCCATCATTAGGCAATGAGCAACCAATCAGGGCTTTGCACTTCAGTTTGGCAAGTTTAGTCTGTTCATGGGTGCACTACTACTTCCCGCATGCAAACTTGCCTTATGACCGCATAGATGTACAATCATATGACTTTGAAAACTTATCTTATTGATGACATAGATGGCAATATGGTTGCGTATGCTCCAACCACCTTTTCGTTCCTAATCTCTGTTAAATAGAAGTATCTCAAATTCTCAATGTCCCCTTCTTTTCGTGAGTGAAACACCATTTTTCACATATATGCAAAGGTAGGTTTGGCAGAAATCAACAATCTGATGGTCATATTTCTACATCAGTCTCTTCATCCACAAGTAGCAAGCAATGATCCACAGCAAATTAGTCAAATTAAAACCACCAAATGCTTGAGAAACTTAGTTGATCTTTAGCTAATAAGTGGCTTGTGTTCACACACATATGACACATGTCATGGTTACCAGACACAAAACTCAAGCTTTTAACCCATTGCATGATAGTTAAATACATGGTAATGATTTAGGATAGACTGGATTAAGTTCGATGCCTATCAGGCCATCTGAATCATACACAATGCAACTTGCAACCACTTACGTAGATATCACCATCACAGTTAATTAAATGTCCCGATAGGCATAGATCCTATCGTGAGCTCTACTTTCTAGCTAGGGTTCTAATTATTTGGCAAACTCACTTCTTCATAGTCATCTAACGACAAAAACACCTCATCTAAGCATGAAAGCTCTGTGCCCTCATCATGGAAGCTCACTTGTGAACCGCAACTTGATTCGAACACTCTACATATCACCCAGCTGTTGGACTCCTGCAAAAGGATCATTGATTGGTTTGTGTACCCCAGTCAGTCGTCACACATATATAAGCTGCTGGCTGCCAAGAAGCAATATAATACGCTACAGCGTGATCACTCACCGTGCTTGAGTGAAGTCTCTTCCTCTGGGATTTCCTACTGGAGCTTGAGCTACTTGGGGTGCTGCTACCGCTGACATTGTATCCTCCATCTTGAAGGTGGTACTCATGCATGATCCAGTTTGTTTTGAAACCTTTGAAAGGCTCTCCAGTGCAGAAGATGAGCGTCTTCTTCACGCCGACAATACAGCCACTGCTTGTTACTGTTTCATCGGCACCAACGGGATTCCAGTACCCAGCCGGAGAGGTTCTGCTTTGCGCGGCATGGCTAAAGAAATACCATTGGTTTCCAGCTTGCAGCGCGGTTCCTTGGAAGAAGATTATCAGCTGTTGTACGCACACGATTTTTACCATGCATATATAACAATAGAGAGATGGCTGAGAATGCAAACCATTCAATTCCCACGGATCGTAGCGGTGCAGAAGTATCGTCGGGACGATGTCAGGGCGGCATGGGAGGTTGGCCACTTTGCGACGGAGGAAATGGACGACGAGATCTTCATCTGAAGGGAAGAAATGGAAACCAGGAGGTAGGTTGGTAGCTCCTCCCATGCTAGCTGCAGTGCAACTTCGATTCGCTGTCAGGGACGACGACGAAGAGGGTGAAATGAGACGAGGTGAATATGAGGGAGTAGTTCATGCCGGTCATAGAGTGGTGCTTTTATAGGGAGCATATGGGTGTGGGCTAGCTTAGCTCAGTGAGAGAGGGAGGGAGAGACGTACAAGTCAAGGAGTGTTGACAGGTTTTGGAGGCGGCTGCAGCTAACACAAGGAAAGAAATGTGTGGTACGTGGATGGAGCTAATGATACTAGGAGGAGACATTATATTCGTCGGATTATGATGGAGTCCTATATATCTGCCCTGCTGTGCAGTGTGCAGTAGAATGTAAGTTGTATTGATTTTGAACTGAAACAATCATTACACTCTAAACAGAAAAAAAAAGATTATTAGGTCAAGAGGTTTACATTCAAAATATGCTTATTAGGTCTAATGATTGTGATTTTTGCAAGGCCGGTCATGGAATGGTACTGTAAGTAGAAAACTAGTAGCAGGAACAGCTAGGCATCACGTTTGCAGTAAGTCTAGTGGCAACACACTACCCTTTGTTCTCCTGAGAAGAGTAAATCTATATCTTGCAGTTCCAGTTAGGCCTTGTTCGGCTACGGGGAGATTCATTCCCAGCCGAGCGGCATCTCTTCGTAAATTTGTATAGCACCGGATCCGTTCCAGGCGCGGAACGTCCGGTTCCGTAACAACCGAACGGCACCTTAGGCCCTGTTCGGTTCCCGGGGAACGACGTCCGGGAACCGTTCCGGCCAGGATTGTCCGTTTAATTTGTACGTAGCAGATTTGACCGGGAATCATTCCGGGGCGGAAACTACTCAAACGAACGAGCCTGAGTAGTTTCCGCCCCGGAATGATTCCCGGTCAAATCTGCTACGTACAAATTAAACGGACAATCCTGGCAGGAACGGTTCCCGGACGTCGTTCCCCGGGAACCGAACAGGGCCTTAATGGTTTCGCTTTCTCTTTCTGGTTTGGTAGCCTAGCTCAAGTTAGTACAGATTAGTTATCCAACTCTCTAATCTGCTGGTGAATCTCATCAGCATGCTATTATTATTATAGCATAGGTACAGTTTTGTGTGGACTTGTGAGTTATTAATTAGTACAAGAGCATCACTTGGTGAAGAAGCAACCCAACGATTTCTTCCTTCGTTCGTTCCTGTGTCTCTAATCTGTGTGCATGTTGCTGCGTCAAAGGGGGTACATCAATCATTTCAAATAATTTCATGTATATATCAACTGGGCTAAATTATATTCCGTCTTTGCAGGCACTATATATATATCATCATTGCAAAGTACAAGCACAAAACAAGATCTTCACCCTGTTCGGCTGATACAGTTTCAGCTGATTTTGGTTGATTCAATAGTGTTCTGTGAAAGAGAATAAGCTCAAACAAGCTGAAACTGGATCAGCCGAACGTGCTGCTTGTCTCTTGGATCATGCGAACAAGTTGCGCCGCAAGTGGTAATAAGACCTTACCCCTCCTCCTTCCTCTCTTGGCAACAAAACAAGCTATCCCCATTCTACAGAGATGAAGGTATCATGAGTGGAAGGGAGAAACAAAAGAGCAGAGAGATAGATATCAGAATGGAAGGCCATGCCGCTCTTCTTCTTCAGTAATAGTAGTAGGGGTGAAAATGGTACAGATATTTTTCGACCGTATTCGAGACCGAATTCGTTTAGAGAGGTTTAAATCTGTCTGTATCCGAGTCCGGATATTCAACATCCGATACCGTATCCGTATCCGAATACTCAAATCGCATATTTATGACGTCGATATCCAATCATATCATATCCGACATGGTTGACACTATCCGTATTCGAATTCAAATCCGGTCAGAGATATAAAAACAAATGTAATATCAGTGATATCCGTCCGTATCTGATCCGTTTTCGTCTCTAAATAGTAGTATATGCCAAATACATAATCAGCTCCCAGAACTGCTCTAATGGCCTGTTATCGAGATGCTTATCCTCACGAGGATCGAGCGTAATCATGGACACCGAATCTTCCAGCAAACTATGCTAGCTCCCAGAAAAAGATCCGGCTCCACCACTCCATCCCATTTTCCTTGGTGCACAATCACCAGCCTGCTGCCCCCACACCCAACAGTGTCTCCTCCAGGCACCACCCTGCTCCTTTTCCCTCGCGCTCGCTTTTGCCTTGCCTTGGCTTTTGGGTGTCCCAACTCTCATGCGTGCTCGCTCTCTGCTCCTTTGTGGCAGGGCAGGGCAGGCCATCAAAGGGAGAAAGATTAGGCTCAAGTCCACCACCGGAGCCGTGCTGGGATTCATGCCGGTAGTACACGTGAGGGAAGGCCACCTAATCCAAGGACCCCACCTGTCATGTGGGGTGGAGGGGGCTTCTTTGTTTGGCGCCATCCCCATGGTGACGTGCCCATGACGCAGTTGTGCGTTCAATCTGTCGCAAGGCATGACGCAGTTGTGCGTTCAATCTGTCGCAAGGTTGGATTGCATCCTTGGAACGTAGAGAACGTGGATGGCAGATGCCCACGCGCGGCTGCACACCGTTTGCTTTTGCAGCTCGATCTGGAGATGTCGGCTGCATGCGGCATATTATATATATACAACATGATCCTGGATCAAGATGATGTGCCACCACGCGCGGCTACAACTCATGTGTGTGTGTGTGTTTTTTTTTGTGTGTGTGCGCGCTTGCAAGCCGATCTCGTCGTGTTTGATGATTGGTGACGTTATTGTGTTTTACGGAATGCAGGAGGTTTTGGGGCGGATTTTTATTTAAGAAGCAAGGCAGAGATGGCAAATTCTAGTCTAACCTTATTGGCAGTGGCCGACTGGCCGGGCAGCCATTATGGGGAGGACCGGAGAAGAGTCTCTGCATCTACAGGACCACAGTGCAGCATCCGATGAATTCAGATGATGAAGCACTCATGAACTTGCTGGCTCTGCCTTTCCTTTGCAGGGGCTGGCTCCTCACTGGGTTCATCTTCGGTCCTGTTCGCTTATGCTGATGCTTATGCTAAAATGTTGTGAATTAAAAATATTGTTCCATGGCTGAAAAGCAACTCAAGCGAGGCCTTCATCCGGGGCGCACTTTTGCAGGGACTCGGCTCGTTTCATCTCTGCGCCTGGACGCCTGGTGTCCGGTGAGCGTGCGTGCACATTCCTCTCTCTCGCTCTCGGCATATGTATGGTCTCGCGGATACCGGCACGTTCTGTCTCAGCGCCGCGCGGGATAAGGCAAAGTGATGCCTGCCAAGCCATGGTGCCGTGGTTGCTGGCCGCAGGCGCTGTGGATGCACCAGAGACGCCAGGGGAGAGGAACGCCATCGCCGCTGGGTGGGTCGCCCACTCGTGCGCGCGCTGCTGGCCTCTACCGGCGTCAGGCGAAGAAGGTGAGCCGTGAGCGAGGGCAATGCCAATGCAGCCCGGTTGGTGGCTGGCAGCGCCGCAGACTCGCCTGGGGCGGGGCGGCGGGGCCTGGGTGAAGGGAAACCAACGGTGGGGAGTGAATGGGACGGACAATGGCCGCGCCACCCCCTTTTCCTCCTCGTGTCTGTCTTCATGGCTTATTACTGCGTGTCGACATCACCTGTGACGATTGCTCCTCCCTGTACTCTTCCATTTCCTTCGCTAACAAAAAAGAACACATGAACTCTTTGTTTGTTTCTTTTTTTTCATGTTACCAAGTTGTGCTTTTATATGCACTTCTCTTTTTCTCTCTCATGACTCATGTTGCTACAAAAGTATCTATGTGATTTGTATAATGATGAATGGATGATGATCTGGTTAATCTTGATGGTGACTTGGTGAGAAGATTACCTCTAACTGGACATGGAATGTGGATTGCATATTTGCATGCATCTGTTGCCCTGTCAAGACAGCACAGTGCCGCCCAATAACAGCCATCATCGCACAATGTGTTCATCCATCCAGGCCCCTCCTTATCCAATTGCTGCGGCGTTTATGTGCGTGCATCAGTGCTTACATTCTCTCCATTTGCCCCACTTCCATATTATTCTCTGCTGCTGCTGCTGCAACCAGTGCAAGTGTCCATCAACCTGCAACCCGGTTGGATGGCAACTCGCAGGCTTGCAGGAGTCACATTCGGCGCACGCTCAAACTGAGTGCCGGCCAGCAGCAAGTGGCAACTGTTGCATAGAACACGACAGATGCTTCACAGACCCCTCTTCCAGCGCTCCAACACAAACACAAACGGCCTCTAGATTGAAAGAAAGAGGCCTTCAAAATCTTTGAGCAATAGAACTCTTCAACCACAGCCCATAGATTTTCTGCGCAGCAAATATGCCAGACAAGGACAAGTTATCCATTCAGTAAACCATTCACACAAGATCTGGATGCTCAGAACTATTTCCCTCGATTTGTACAATGGATAAATCAGCTCACAGGGTGCCACAGCTACAAACTTAACTAAATCAGAATCTCTGTGAACCTTCTAACATAGAATCACCATTCTCAAGAATCATTCTTTTTTTCTTAAGGAAAGGGAAAGATCAGCCACACAATGCAGAAGAATATTAGATTGTGAAGTCAAGGAACTCAAACTGAATTGGATCAAACTCTTGCTGCTTCTGCTGTGGTTGAAACCTGACAGATTACGGCCATGACCCAAGACTTGGAAGATTGAATCAACTGCAGGTGATTCTCTGGGTAAACCTCGTTAAGCACTTGAGCTCTCAAACTGAGGGTTCAAAAACTCTGCACGAACAGAAGCCCTGGGCTCTGGAGCTATTTTGCGGTCTCACAAGGCTTAACAGAGTGCATGATAATGAACGAGGACGCTGATGGCAAAGGAGCGGACCTCGCCTACCATTGTCATAGCAGAGTGAGTGTTCCAGCAATACCAGAGCAATGCTTTTATACATGGGTGGTTTCTCTCAAATGTCAGCAAAAATTAAGCTGGTGTTAGGTAGGATCCTCTGCTATGCTCATATGGTTGAGAAGCTTGCCCAACATCTCATATATCTCGTCTGCCTCGCAATGAGACATGTCATCAGCAACAAATACGTGCTTTACACTCCGCACCTCAATCCAACTGTAAGCCTGATCCTTCTTCAGGCCCTTCTCCTTCATGAGCCCCCTGACTCGACGTGCATCATCCCACTGTCCTGCAGCTGCATAGATGTTTGACAACATGACATACCGACCACTGTTCCCAGGCTCTAACTGGAAGAGAAACTCTGCCACTTCCTCTGCAAGCTCGATATTTCCATGAAGGCGACAAGCACCTAGGAGAGCTCCCCAGGACCCAGCTGTACCAGGACCAATCCTGGATGGCAAATCTTTGATGAACTCAGTTGCTTCTTCCAGCTGGCGATTCCGACCAAGAGCATCAATGAAGGCAGCATAGTGTTCAGCCCTTGGTTCAACACCATGGTCCTCCATTGATTCGAGAATGAGGCATCCATTAGATACTAGACCGGAATGGCTGCAGGCCGTGAGGACAGCCAGGAAAGTGACATGGGTTGGACGAACTCCAGCTACCAGCATCTCCTCAAAAATAGCAAGTGACTGCTTTCCTAGGCCATTATGCGAGAACCCGGTGACCATGGAGTTCCAAGAGATAAAGTCCCTCTCAGGCATCCGGTGGAACACTGCCATGGCAGCCATCATGTCCCCACACTTAGAGTACATGTCAACGAGTGCATTGTGGATGAAAATGTTGAAAGGGTCAGAGCCAATGCTCCGTCGCAAGATGACGCAGTGCAATTCCTTCCCCATGTGACAAGCCCAAGTTTGGCACATGCGCCCAAAGCTGACACCAAGGCAAAAGGCGTTGGTGATACTCCGTCGGCCAGCATCCGTTCAACAGCTCAAGAGCAGTGTCCTCCTCTCCATTCTGCTCATGCCCAGATATCAGTGCTGTCCATGCAACCCTATCTTTATCTGGCATCATATCGAACACCTGCACTGCCTCATCGAGCTTCTTCACTTGGCAGTACCCAGAAATCATCGACGTCCAAGTGACATTGTCTCGGATGCTGACCTGATTGAACAAATGCCTCGCATCCTCCACCCTCCCAGCCTTGCTGTAGGCGTTCACCATGGCATTGGCCATGATGACGGTCAACTCCATCCCTGATACCACCACCGCGCCGTGCATTTCCCGCAGCGGCCTCACAGCTCTGATTCCCGCACATGCAGTCGCCACGCTGACCACCGTGAACCGATCCATGGCCAACCCTGGCCCCAAGAACCTGTCCCTGGCCAGCCGGGCAACAACGCGGAGCGCCTCCCCCTGCCGCCCGTGGTGCGTGAGGGACGATATGAGGGTGTTATAGGAGACGAGGTTGCGTGAGTCGGCCGGCATTGTGTCGAACAGGTGGAAGGCGTCGGGGAGGGTGCCCGGCCTGCGTAAGAGCGCCGCGAGAAGCGTGTTGTAGGAGTGCGCGTTCTTGTGTGGAAGGTCGTCGAAGGCCGCGACCGCAGCGGCCGGCGACGGGAGTAAGGAGTAGAGCGCGACGAGGCGATTGGATAGGAGCGTGTGGCTGGTGAGCGCCGTCTTGACGAGGTGCGCGTGCACTGCGCGGCCGAGACGGAGCACGTCCCCCGTGGAGATGGCCCGCTCCAGGAGCGGAATCAACTCCGGGAAGGCGAGGGCGCTTCCGCCGGCGGCGGTTGGAGGAGGTGCTGGGAGGCATGGCAGCGGGTGGACGGCGAGCGGCGGGAGAAGGCGGCACATGCGTTCCCGACGCGACGAGCGGCAGCATATGCGCTCACAGACGCTGAAGCTATTTTACTGGGCCGTGTATGATAGCGGGCCTTTGGGCCAATGAAGCAGGCCAAGTCAGTACGTGAAGGCGAGAAAGCTCCCGAAGGCCGAAGCGTTCTTCTGTCTGTTGCCTTGCGAGTTGCGAATTGCGATTCTAGAACTGTCCTTCGCTCGCCTCACCTCGCCGCCCGCGCGTACCCTGCCCGGCGAAAACCCTAACCTGCCCGGCGCCCGCGGCCGTGGATAGATAGATCGGTGACGAGCGGGGAACTCGTTGTAGGAGCAGAGGAGGGGTAGGGGATGGTGTTCGGTCAGGTGGTGATCGGCCCGCCGGGCTCCGGCAAGACCACCTACTGCAACGGCATGTCGCAGTTTCTCTCCCTTCTCGGCAGGTACGTACGCCGCTTAGTTCCTTACTATTGCTTCGATTGCCCCTCACAAGCTGCTCTAGCTAAGTGGAATGCGCTTGCCTTGACTTGCTGTTTACTAGTAGTTACCTGGAGACCGGCTGCGTGATTCAATTAGTAACTACGGAAGTCAATAATAGTGCCCTCCTCTGCTAAGGTTGATCGCGAATGTTAACTGGTAACATATTGCTGGTACCAGAAGTTGTGCTGAGAGTTTAAAGTTCACCTTTGGCTTTGTTTTGGTTGGACTAAAGTTGAAGTTGATAATTTTCTCAAACGGATTGTTTCGTTTATGTGTTTTCTTCTTCTTGTTGTTGCAGGAAAGTTGCGGTTGTCAATTTGGATCCTGCAAATGATGCATTGCCGTATCCTTGACTCTTTGAGCACCACCTTTTTCCTCCGTACTCACTCTCTTATATGTCTTAAAACATACCTTAAATGTCTTAAAACATACTCTCCCTCTCCTTGATGTTCTCTGGTCACAGTTGAAATTTTTCCTTGACAGTGATAAATAGGTACGAGTGCGCCATAAACATTGAGGACCTCATAAAACTGAGTGATGTCATGGCTGAGCATTCGCTTGGCCCTAATGGAGGTTGCTCCTGGTCCTCTATTGCTGTCCAGTAACCTACCTGCTTTTGTTCTAATAATATTGCTTCTTTCTCTATGGTGTTCAATTCTATGTCAGGGCTTGTGTATTGCATGGATTACTTGGAGAAGAATATTGACTGGCTTGAAGAAAAACTGAAGCCTCTTATTGAAGGTGAGTAACGAATACCTCTCTGAAGTTTGCACATATGTTCAGTGGCAATATCTGTACAATGGTCATATCCCAAAAGGGCAGCATCTGATGGAAAAACTTATAAATTGCTAATATCAATAAATTTGTTATTTTACATTACACAGGGCTTTCCATGTGCTTGGACTGAACCAATTACATACTAATAGACAAATGATCCAACCAGGATTAGAATTTTATAAACTGTATTCTGTTATCCTGAGGGTTGCACCTCAGTTTAAAAGTATTTTTGCCGTTTATTGAGCTATTTCTGAGTGTTCAGAGTCATAGACTTATAGGAGGTGAGCTGTGAGCACTGAACATTGTAAACACTCATACTGCTCAAATTATTGACCTGCAAACTTAACATTTCTGTAGATCACTATCTGTTATTTGATTTTCCGGGGCAAGTGGAACTTTTCTTCCTTCACTCAAATGCAAGAAGTGTTATTAATAAACTCATCAAAAAGATGGACTTGAGGGTATGTGTGTGTTCTTGGTCCTATTTAGATTGCCTTAATGTGAATGAACTAGATTGTTTAATGTTTTTTTTCTGTATTCTGCAGCTGACTGCTGTGCACCTTATCGATGCCCATTTATGCTGTGATCCTGGAAAGTATGTGAGTGCTTTGCTTCTTTCACTGTCAACAATGCTACACTTGGAATTGCCACATATCAATGTCTTGTCAAAGATTGACCTAATTGAGAACTATGGAAATTTAGGTATTGTGCCTTCGATCTTCCTGTCATTTGAACATTTATTGTTGCTTGTGGAATTTGGTGCCCATACCATCTTTTATTGATTAATACTCCTATGTCTTTACTGTAGTATTTATTATTCACCTTATTCATTGGCAGCATTCAACCTTGACTTCTACACTGATGTCCAAGATCTTTCTTATTTGCAATATCATCTTGAGCAGGATCCTCGCTCAGCCAAGTACAGGTGAATTTCTGAACACAAATGTTACTGCAGCAACTAGGAGTAAGTGTACTTCAATTTGCTGATAATTTAAACTTGATAAATTTTAAGTATTATTATGTCTCCAATTCACTTGACCAAATACTGAGACAAATGCAGTGCCTACTTTCTAGTTCTTGCTCCCTTGTGATTTCAGTTTTAGCTGCCATCTAATGTACCTAGATAAAATTCTTGCAGTCACCCTGTTCCACGAGATTTATTAAGTTTTATTTGAGCAAAGGTGGAAATCTAGAACTGGGTTCAGGATATGTGTACTGTTTCAACATGTCTAGGTTGCTAGTGGATAATTCTTCATTCATTGCAAATCAATGAATTACTGTTTTTGTCCACCAATATGACCTTCAGAATCTGTAACCTCTATTCCTCTAAACAGTTGACAGTGATATATACCAGTGTCATTGGTTGTATCCTTAGATTTGTATTACCCGTTTTCAATGCGGAACCTTCACATTGTGCCATTTATAACCTTTTGGAGTGAACCTGCTAACAGGAAACTGACTAAGGAGCTCTGTGATGTGATTGATGATTTTGGTTTAGTCAATTTTTCAACTTTGGACATCCAGGTCTGTATTTGAAAGACTATTAAAATCAATTTTCTCATTGTCTTAGTTCTTACAAGCTTTTGTGGCCTCTAGGACAAGGAAAGTGTTGGCAATCTTGTGAAGCTGATTGACAAGAGCAACGGATATATATTTTCTTCTATTGACAGTAGCGCTGTTGAGTTCAGCAAAATTGCGGCGGCGCCTCTTGATTGGGACTACTACAGATATCCTTTACTTGTTCTTTTAATAATATTCTCAAACAAGTCTTTTATCTCCTGTAATTTCTATGTTATCCTCAATGGCCCAGATGCACAATATCAAACCACTTGCTTGCACAGGTCTAATATACTGACAATATGGACTAAGCATTAGACTTCCTTTACAGATCATGTATCTGCATGCCATTAAATTTTGCAGCAAGCATGTGGTGACTGGATCGCAAGTCAACTACGCAAAATTGCAGCCAAGTATGCTGATTTATCGTCAGCTTACTGTTGCTGTGTTGGGTTGTGAAATCTGGAGTAATATTTCGCTATTATGTGCCTTAGAATATATGCTGTTGCACTTGGTCTTGTGCACCAATATCTTGCAAATTGCCTTTCTTTCCTTGACGTGTGGATACAACAGCAGAAGTGCAGGAGAAGTACATGAAAGATGATGAGTACGTGCAACAGACAAGCAGGATGCAATGAGGCTGGCGGTGGCGTTCCCCACTTTTGTAGCACTACGGGTGAACAACGAGAACTTCGGTTGCTAGAACGACGCGAAACCTGTCTGAACCCATGTAGCTCAGTTGTAGATGTTTTCTAAAGCAGCTTGCTAGTTGCCTGATGTGTAGTAGGGTACTGTCATTATCTTCTGGGAGTATACTTTTGGGCAGTATAAGAGATGCACCTGCCACCTGTAATCAACCAATCATATGGCCATCTGTTTTGTTTTATCTTGTGGGCTAACTGATACATGTTCGTTGTTTAGTTTGTCCTGATCCAATCTCAGATTCTTGAGCAAGTACTAGCAAATGAATAACCAAGGGACCGTTTGGTTGTGTTTGGTTGTGGTTGTGCAAAACGATTCGGATTCTCCGGAGAATCACTAGAAATGGCACCAAACACTTTGGGAGCGAAATGTTTCTGCCGAGAATCGTTTCACATCCTTTGCCTTCAGTACTGAATCGGCCAAAGGGTAGTTTCACAGTGATTCTGCTACCCGTTTCTTTTTTCCCCTTACGCATGCGCTACTAATTTTATTTTTTTAGTTATAATACTTTTTTAATACAATAAATTAAAATGTGTTGTATTTAAGTTGCTCTTCACCTAAAAAAATTACATTTTTAAAGGTATTTTTATTTAAATAATTTTTTAAGAAAAATATTTTTCTTATGAAACAGAATCCAGTCTACTAGCCAAACAGTTTCATAAGATGATTCTAATTCATCTCATGAAACGTTTTTTAAGAAAATCCAGATCCAAGCAAACAGGTTGCAGGTTGGAATCTATGAGTGCACTGAAATTTTTGTCGCAAGTCGGAGTTTTCCCTGAATTTGCTGGTAGTCAGTATGAGAATTTCATATACTGCTATAAAATTCCAAAATTTGGAAGTTCAATATTTTTTGACCAGCAAAACAAATCATTTATAGATTTTTATACTAGCTCCACGTTTCTTACAAAATATATGAATGCATGATAATATATAAGCAACAAGGTTATAGAGTTGTGGCTATCATTAATTGTCCACCTGTGTATAAAAGAACAAGAAACAAGTCAAAGTCCAAAAATCTTCTTTTAACTATCCTATTTAGTAAGTGATTTGGAAATTTAGCAATCAGATATAATGGCAAATCTGAATATACAACAGCAAAAAAAAAGTCAGTCTCATGCCACCATTTTGCCTTTTAGAGAATTCAAAGCACTAGAAAATCATGCTGTTTTGCTCAAAACATACCAGGATGCTTCGACAAATATTTCTTCTCTGGGTTTGGCAGTCCTGAGATACTGCTGATGCTGATTTGTTGTAAGAGAAAAACATTGTTCCTTCGCTGAAAAGTATTGCTGAAGTAGTGATGAAGAACAGGGCAAAAGTAGAAAAGGATATCCTACTCTCTAAGCGAAACCCATGGTTAAGCCGCAGTCAGTTTCAAAGTGATTCAATTCCTATATCAGCATGACGTTCTATGGCATCAAGAGCTCAGCGACTGTTATACATGTTATTACTCTGGCTGAGATATTGTTCCTTTTCCGTGAAAATGACCTCAATCCTAATTATATATCAAAATAATGATGTATACAACCCAGGATACTAACTAATTTAAATCTATGACACAAATTGCTCGAGAAGCTCAATTCTAAACTCACTTCAAAAGCTAACTAGCTTAATATGTAATGTGACTTAGTAATTTGTAGGCTATTGTTTTGTACTTACACAGGATACTCAACTTATTTTCTTTTTCCCCCTCCACCATCTTATCAGAAGCAAAAAAAAAAAAAAAAAAAAAGAATACAAGCAAAGTCTCTCTTTATACTAAACAGGGGAACATTACATGAGAAGCAAAAGGTAATACATATCCTCTGTATAATATATTTCACAAATTAATTTCTCAAATACAATCTTGTTGCCTCATTTTTATAGAAACCAATTTAGCTTCTTAAAGGCTATTTCCACGTCTGCCTTTATTGCTCAGTGGTACACAATTCGAGTTAGAAAATCACCTCTTGCATTTCATCTCATATTTTTTATACTAATCCCATTTACACAGCCCATGTAAATGTCACCAAGGTGGAGAGGGTGAGTGCATGTATAGTGCATGCCATGGAAATAAATATGACCTTGTTGACATTATCCATGTATTCAAACAAATATACCAAATGAAGCTATTTTAGACTCTAGAAATTGTGTTATCAGGCTGTGTCAATCTATTATAGGATAAGGGACACGCAGGAAATGGTCCCGAAAATTTTTTTGCAGAGTTTATGTAGTTGTCTGGGACTAAAACCAATAAGTTTCCACCCTATTGTCACACATATACAATTCTACTCTCATCATAGCTCCTTTGCTCTAATTTCTAACTAGGATAAGCTTAAAAGAGTGGTATTCCTGGCATCATCACTAATGAAAACTGTCAATTCTCAACATTTGTAAACCTTTTGTCTTTGATACCTTGACCATCCCCACCCCGCACCTTGGGCGTGTGTTTGCTTCGCTGTCACAGCCTCGCCACCGGCCTATAGTTCATTTCGCACGCCAAAACATGCCGCAGTTACAGCGGCCGATGTCAGCGCCGAACTTTGGGCGGGGCCGTGTACCTTCTGTGTGGCGTGCCCAGGCGCCAATCCAAACGCGCGTTCTGTCTCTCTCGTGCGGTCGTGCCTCGTCCCTCGTCCCGCATCCGGCACCCTCTCGACAAATCGTGCCAGCTGTCATCGGACGCCCCAAAACTGCCCCCGCGTGTTCGATTCAACGGCTACTGCAGCCTGCCGCACATCCAAAGCCAAACCCACGAGCCTGCGCCTGCGCCGCCTCCCCTTCCTTCCTTCTCTCCTTCAAATTTGCGTAGCGTTGATTCCACGCCCCGATACTCCAAATCTACCAACGCACCTCTCACAACGCTCAATCCAAACGCGCCGAGACTGATGGCGCGCCCGAGGGGCAAGAAGCTCACGGCGCCCCAGGCGGCCGGCACTGATTCGGTCAAGCCGGAGGCCGCCGCCGGTGCTTCGAGCAAGCCGGAGGCGCGCGACGACGACGGAGCCGGCAACTTGGGGGCGGGGGAAACGCGTCAAGGCGCCGCCCAAGCCCAAGCCCGAGACGGATTACTTCGGCGAGAAAAGAAATCGGGTGAGTTGGTCCTCTTCGTTTCGCTGAAATTTGAACTTACGCTGATGTTTATGCTGATCCGTTGTGAGAGTACTGTCACAGTAGTGCATCGCGGGTGGCTTCACTTTCGATTGTTTCTCTAGCGGCAAGATTTGCAATGCTTTGATTGGTCGAAAAAACCAGGGATGATGGCTCCATTCTGCCGCCGGTAATGCTCAAATGTGGCATTCCAGTTATGTAGGATTATACTTGGGTTTTACTATTGGATTCTCCTCATCTGAGTAGGAAATCGCAATGCACTACTGTGGTGTTAGGAATTCGTTATTGATGAAAATTTTCAAATCTGTGTGCTTTGCGATGCAAGTGTGCAGTTTGATAGGTCAACATTTTCTTCTGTCCATTGGTTGCGGCTGATATATGAGGCTTGAGAACCACGTATGATTACCACTTAAAAGGTTTTCAAGGTAAATTGGAACATGATGGCTTTAGAAGCATTTTTTTGAATGTTGGCTCGAACAGGTTTATTTTTGGAAATTACCATAAGGATTTAGATTGTGTTTGGCTGCCTTGTATGATGACTTTGCTATTTACTTTACGTGCATTTTGACTAATGATTTTTTGCTATGTTCAGGAGGATCTATGGTTATCTGCTTTCCCTGTTGGCACTGAGGTTTGCTCCCATCCCTGCCTTCTTTAATTTGTAGTAGTGTGTATGTTAGTGATCCACATTTTGACATAGCTCTCATCTTTTCCTTAACAACTTATATAACTTGCCATATCATCAGTGGGAAAACATTGATAAGGTAAAGGAGTTCAACTGGAGCTTCGAAAATTTAGAGGTATGGTGATCAAAGTTAACCTTTTAATCCATTTTTGCTTTTTGAGTGTTTAGTTCCCCCTTCACGATGATATGTGGTTGTTGTTGGTGAACAGAAAGCCTTAGAAGAAGGGGGAGAGCTTCATGGAAAGACAGTTTGTATGTTTGGAAGCACCGAGCGTATGTGCACTCTGTTTTCAGCTAGTTTCTAAAATTAATTTGCTATCATTAATCCTTGATGCATGTTTTTTAATCTTTGTAATATTTCACACCAGTGCTATCTGGGCTAATTGATCTCAATTTTATCTTGAAGAGCTATTTCTTTAGTAAATTCAACAATTCTATATGTGCAACACTATTTATGTGCTGGCCATTTGTTTCATTTGTTTCCTAGTTTTATGAGGCTGTTGATTATTGTTCCATACAAGATTAATTGGCTCCTGTTGTCATGCAGCCCAGCTATTGGATGTTAATGGTGAATCAAAGTTAGTGCTTATCCCAATTGTAGTTGCTGTAAGTTCTTGTCTACCCTCTTGGCTGGACAGTTATCATGTGTGTTTATTTACTCCACGATTTTGAGTTCCAAAACATGTTATTAGAAACATGCGCTATTGAAAACGGCCCCTGTAGTTCCACATCATCCTATGATAAATCTCTCTCTCTCTCTCTCTCTCTCTCTCTCTCTCTCTCTCTCTCTCTTTTATTGAAAGCAAATAAGGTTCAACATACACTTGCTGGGGATACCAGCTAGCTGCTAGCCAGAAGCAGCTCCTAAATTAAGAATACACATGGTAAATTACTAAGCTAGCTCTAATGACTAAGATACTAAGCTAACTATCATCTTCATCAAGTAAGTGTTGGGTTCAACTAACAAACACCTAGCTTTACAAATGAAGGATATATCTTTATTTCTACTAATGATTTAATGTATATTTGAATCAAAGAGCATTTAACTACCCTTATGTTAAGTCTATTCTAAAGCTACAAAAATTACAGTGAGCATATAATAATACCATGAAGCTACTGTAAAATTTTCAAAGCTAAACCTATCATCATTTTGCCACAAAAATTCCTACACTATTTAACCTAATAATATTAAGCACTCTCAAATGATTTAATAGCTCCTGGCATCGACAAGTATATATATGAACTAAATACACTAACAGATAGAGCATAATTTTTGGAACTTAACAAAATTGGTTTCATAATTTTTAGATACCTACATGATTTTATATGATTTACCAAAGTTCAGCTCAGATTTAAAATGAAAATTTTTATATTTTCCACGAAAAAGATAAACTCAATTCAGCCCAACGCGGCCCACGCCCGCGCGAGCGCGCAGCGGCCCACAGGCGAGGCGAGGCCCACGCGCGGAGGCGGCCCGCGGCGAGGAAGCCCGCGCGCGTCGGCACTCTTGCAAAAACGCTCTTGGACTATGAGCAAAACAACCCGCAGTCCACGTTACTATTTCTATAGACAACGACTTTGCAACGGAACCCTCGGATCTTTCTCCTCTTTTCAACAGCAAGGTCCTCGGCCATCCCCGCGCGCGCTGGGGCGGCGAGCGCTGGCACTGGCGCTTGCGCCGGCCACACGAGACCCACGCTGACCTATATATGAGGCCGACGCTCACCTAGGGTTCGACGCGAGACGATGGGCGGCGGTTGCATGAGCCGGGACGCCGTAGACGGACCTCTCCACGACGGCGGGCACCCTGCGGCAATGGCGATGGCGTTCTAGTGAGCCGCAGCAACAAAAAGGCGATAGGGGTAGCGGGTGAGCATGACAACTCACCAGTGACCTTTCCGAGAAGCCGTCTCGGCCGGAGACGACCCGAGCGAGGCTGGCCACGTGCACGCTGCGAGGTGAACGACGGACCGCAAAGGCACGGCCGCGTCAGTGGCGAGAAGGCGGCACTAGAGCTGCGACTAGCGTGCGCACGATGAAGAGGGAGCCAAGGCTAGCTAGTGGTGCAGAGGAATTGGCGCGGGATGAAGTGATGGAGACTGGCCACGACGCGGGCGGCGACAGGCCTTAACGGCACGATGGCGGGCAAAGCTCCAAAATTGGAGCTCGGCCTGGCCATAATCAGGACAGGGTGGGGTCGGATGGAGAGGGGATGTGAAGGACGAGACGCGAGCATGAGGAATTGATGAGAGGTGCTCGCTCTCTGGCTTCACCGTGACGCGACGCGACGGCGACGGAAAATAGAGGGAGAAAGAGGGAAAGAGATAGACAGCGCGGCAGGTGGGCCCGGCTCGTCCACGCCTTGGTGGGACGCGAGCGGCGGGCTCGGGAGGCCCACGCGCCGACGCTACGGACCACGTGTGCGCGCGTCTGACTGGCGTGGCCCGCGCGCCGCAGTGCCATAAATGGCATGGCGACGGTGGCTCGCCCATGTGCACACGGCAGAGGCGACACGCACAGGGGCGGCAACAGCGCAGAGGTGTAGCGGACCGGCGTGGACGCAACGACGATGCGATGGCAGCGGCAGCGCCGCGACGCGAGGAGTGTCGGCAGTGCGGACACGACGGCAGCGCAGCGCGGCCGCGTCGGCACCCAAGACGGCAGCGCGAGGCAGAGCAGTAGGGCGCGGGGCCAGCGGCTCGCTGTGGCCGACCTCGGCCAAGCCCAGGCGGCTCGACCGGCCAAGCGTGGCGGCATGGTTGACCGCGTGGGACGCGGCCATGTGCGCAGCGTGAGAAGGCCGCGCGGTGACCGCGCACCCGGCGCCAACCAACCCGAGACAGTGACACGCATGAATTTTAAAGCGTTCAACACGACCAAACGGTTGCTTTAGAACCTAAACCATCTTCACCATGCTCAAGATGGCACATGAGACTACCAAATTGAGCTATAACACTATACCACTCCTTAACCCAATCTCTCACAATAAATTGCTAAACATAGCAATGTCTAGCAGTCGGCAGACTTGGAAATTTCTAAGTTTAGAGCTGAATTTGATTTTCATTTGCGATTTTTAAGCTAATGGAAATATTAGCTAGTAATATCATTTTTCGACCACAAGTATTTCACTGTCATCTACAAAGTTTGTACTTCAAACTTTATTTAAGTATTACACACATGTTCTATAGCATTTTTGCTTAATAAAAATTGGTTTTAAACCCTAAGTGATATAACATGACTATCGAATCAACTTTCGTTTCGCATTTTAGTTGATCGTTTCGAGTTACAGAAATTGATCTACACACTTTATCACATGCATTAACACATAAACATGATACTCATGACATGTTTTAGTAAATAATTTATGGTGTAACACCGAGGGTGTTACACTGCAGCCGGCATGCAAGTCGATTCGCCAACAATTTAGTGATCAACTTAGCAAAACTATGAACCAGGCTGATAGGCCGAAAATCTCTTGGCTGCTCTGCTTCCTCTTTCTTAGGTAGAAGGGTGATGTAGGCTGCATTAAGCACTTCAAAACCTGCAAATCTCCTACTCCACACAGCAGAAACTGCAGCCATGATATCACTCTTTATGATCGGCCAGCAGACCTTGTAAAACCGACCAGTAAACCCATCTGGACCAGGCGCTTTATCCGGAGGCAGCTGCTTGATTGTGTTCCACACCTCTTCCTCTGTAAAAGGGAGCTCAAGATCAGCCAGATCGTGGGGGAGGATTCCCAGCTCATCAAGGTTGATGGTGCGCTCTCTGTCAAGGGTTGTTCCAAGTAAATTCTCATAGAAATCATCAACCAATCTTGCTTTGTCTTCATGTTTGGTGTAGATCTGGTCTCCTGAGACAAGTTTGCCAATGAAATTCTTCCTCTTGTGGTGACGGGCATGGAGTTGGAAAAGTTTTGTGTTGGCGTCCCCATCACTTACCCAGTCAATTCTTGAGCGAAGACGGGTAATAGTCCACTTGAGGGATGCAAGAGCAAGGCTGTGCTTCTTAAGACTGTTTTTCAGCCAGTTTTCCCTTGGTGAGAGGGTGCGACTGTCTTGGGCGATCTCCAATTGATGGAGGATTTCACGGGCAAGGGCTAGCTGAGAGTTAACATGACCAACAATTTTATCAGTCCAACTCTGTAAAGCTTTAGTAGCAGCTTTGAACTTGAAGTCCAAGGTGAGAAAAGGACAAGGACCAGCCTGCACTCAAGCCCAAGCATCTGCTATGGTGCCCTGAAACCCCTCAAGCTTAGGCCAAAAAGATTCGAAATGGAAGCGTCTACGGCCTGATTTATTATCCTGAAGTCCAAGCAAAAGAGGGCAATGGTCTGAGTCTTCCGAAGCCATGCTTTGCAGTAAACAATTTGGGAAAAGGTCCTCCCAGTCCACTGAACAAAACACCCTGTCCAACTTAACCAAAGTAGGATTCGTTTGCTGATTTGACCATGTATATTTCCGACCATGCAGGGGAATTTCCTTGATAGCTAGGTCATTAATTAGATGTCTGAAATGACCCATCATTGCCCGATTGTAGTTATCGTTATTTTTGTCTTCCTCTTTGTAAATCAGGTTGAAATCTCCTGCTAGAACCCATGGTCCAGGACAACCCCCTCGGATATCTCTTAGCTCCTGAAGAAACTGAATTTTTTCATCCATGCCTTGAGGACCATACACACAGGTTAGCCACCAGGAAACTCCATTAGTTGGGCAGAGAAGGATTTGATCGAGTTGCTGAGAAACGTCATTATCTTCTGCTAAAGCTCTGGAAGCTGTTGATCAAATAGTGAATGAAGTTGAGCAGGCTATTGTGAGGCTGCAGATGGTGAATACAGACTCTACTGGAAATGTTGACCACCCATCCATCCTTGCAGAACTGAAAGCTAAGCTGAATGAAATGGCACCACTAAACCAACTTGAAGACAGCCAAAAGGAGCTCAATGCTGCCCTGAGCAAATATCTCAAGCTCCTTGAGAAGTCTTTCAATCCAGATATCTAAGGCATACAGAAATGTGGATTTTGAGGTTCATACAGTAAACAATATCATAGTGAATCATTTCTACCGCCAAGGCCTCTTTGATCTTGGTGACATGTTCGTCCATGAGTGTGGGGAATTAGGTGGAGCACTGGAGCTTCCTTGAAGCTACCATTTCAGATGTATGCTATCCTTGAAGCCATGAAAGCGAGAAACCTCGAGCCTGCCCTCAGTTGGGCTGCCAAAAACCATGACCAGCTGTTGCAGAATGGGTCTATGCTGGAGTTCAAGCTTTATCAGCTTCAGTTTGTTGAAATACTGTCCAAAGGAAGTAGGGGTGAGGCCAAAGATGAGGCTCTTTTATATGCTAGGACTCACTTGGTCCCCTTTTCAGCCGCGCACAAGGAAGAATTCCAGAAGCTAATGGCTTGCCTTCTATGGGTTGGCCGGCTGGATCAATCCCCATATTCTGAGTTAATGTCATCCACGCATTGGGAGAAGCTAGCTGAGGAGCTCACGCATCAATTCTGTAGCCTTCTGGGCCAGTCTAGGGACAGCCCACTGAGTGTTGCAGTATCAGCTGGTTTTCAAGCACTACCAACTCTGCTGAAGCTGACGCAAGTCATGGC